GCACATCTGCCAATGTGGTATACTGCATCCGCTGTACCCGGTGTGGCCTCCTCTACATCGGTGAAACCAAGCGGAGGCTCGGGGACCGCTTTGCAGAACACCTACGCTCGGTTCGCAATAAACAACTGCACCTCCCAGTCGCGAACCATTTCAACTCCCCCTTCCATTCCTCAGACGACATGTCCATCCTGGGCCTCCTGCAGTGCCACAACAATGCCACCCGAAGGTTGCAGGAACAGCAACTCATATTCCGCTTGGGAACCCTGCAGCCCAATGGTATCAATGTGGATTTCACAAGCTTCAAAATCTCCCCTCCCCCTACCGCATCCCAAATCCAGTCCAGCTCGTCCCCGCCTTCCTAACCTGTTCTTCCTCTCACCTATCCCCTCCTCCCACCTCAAGCCGCACCCCCATCTCCTACCTACTAACCTCATCCCGCCCCCTTGACCTGTCCGTCCTCCCTGGACTGACCTATCCCCTCCCTAACTCCCCACCTACACTCGCCTTTACTGGCTCCATCCCCGCCTCTTCGACCTGTTTGTTTCCTCTCCACCTATCCTCTCCTCTATCCATCTTCTATCCGCTTCCCACTCTCTCCCTATTTATTTCAGAACCCCCTTCCCCTCCCCCTTTTCTGATGAAGGGTCTTGGCCTGAAACGTCAGCCTTTCTGCTCCTATGATGCTGCTTGGCCTGCTGTGTTCATCCAGCCCTGCACCTTGTTGTCTCGGATTCTCCAGCATCTGCAGTTCCTACTATCTCAGGATCTTTCAGAAAGTCTGTTTTCATTTCAAAACTAGGAGGACTGCCTCTCATTGATTCAAAACTGTTAAAGTGGAAGGTGTTGAGATGCCAAGTTATACAGCCAAATTGGAACTTATAAAACTTTCCTTTCTCTGTGTGTGTGTGTGTGGCTGTGGCCTTGTGTGTTGCTGTCATTGTGAATGTGTGCTGCATTGGACTAAACCATCCTGTGGGAAAAAAAATCACTGGACAATAATTTGATTAGTTCCTAAGAAGTTTGTTGAATATTATAGGAAGAGCTCTCTGTCTCTGTCATAAAGAAGCTCTTGCACCAATTTCCTGGGCTGTCAAACACAGACAGCAAAGGCTACTATCTCTGCCAAGGGTGTGCCTCTTGTACAAGCACTGAAGCAAGATATTGCTAACCCAGATTCTGGATGGGAAGTGGGGATTGATCTGCTGATTCATATGCCAACCAATCATCTGAAACTTAAATAGGATGCCCGAGGAAGTGATGAGTCACAAGATTACTTCAGGGGCTTCTGACAGGGGGAAAAAAGAATTACCTTGAATTTATCTGTTCTGAACTGAAAATTGAATAAATGATTGGAAGAATCTTCTAAAAAAAAAAAAAAAAAATAGGGTATTTCAATAGACTTTCGAAGGGAAAAGCAACACTTTGGATGGAAAGAAAGCTCTTGAAGTGGACCAGTGTTGGCTGCAACTTAACATCTCCAAAAAGACAAAGAAAACTGAATGAAGCCCCACTTCAAACCCTCGCCGGGGATCACGAAGGCAAACAACAGTGAGGGAACTACTGTTAGCAGATGGACAAGAGACCGTCCCTTGGGGTGTGAAGATCATCTTCATCCGTCCTTTTATCTAATCCATGAATATTAAGCCATTTTGGAGAGATTACCACTGTTGGCCGCTTAGATCAGCAAAACCCTAATCCTCCCACCCTTCTAATTCAGGATCAGTAAACACACGCATCTGTAGTAAAAATCAAAAGAACTGCAGATGCTGTAAATCAGGAACAAAAACAAAGTTGCTGGAAAAGCTCAGGCAGCATCTGTGAAGGAAAAAATAGAGTTAACGTTTCGGGTCCGGTGACCCTTCCTCAGTTCTCATCAGCATTACGCATCTCCCATTGAACCTTTTGTAATGTGGGTGGTTAATTGGCAAATTCAATCTTGTGGGCTATCTTTTAACATTAGCTTGTGATTTAAAAACTTAAGCAGTACAAGGTTGTACTAACTACTGATAAAACTTTTGTATATTCTTTTGAAAAACTAAATTGAGCAATAACTAGTTATTTGCTTCTCTTGTATCTTTTAGCTGATGCAGTCAATAATGCCGGTGGCTTTGGGTTCAACGGCCTTGATAAAAATGGGAACATACGATGGGACTTAATCTCAAACCTAAATATCTGGAATATTGAGGTGAGAATTAATCTCATATGTACATGTGTAGGTTCTGAGAAGAAAAAGTGATGCAATCTCTGTTGTCATGTCTAAGATCTCAATTAGGTTAAAACCATACATAAAGGTGATTTGTGTGAAAAATAATTATGTTGTTACCTGAAACAGACAAAGTTGGAGATTTATTTGAATCAATAAATTCTAAGTTTCTCGTCTGTCATCTATTTAAGTTTGGTTAATAGAATCCCTACAGTGTGGAAACAGGCCAGTCGACCCAATAAGTCCACACAGCCCCTCTGAAGAGCATCCCACCCAAACCCATCCCTCTACCCTTTCCCATGGCTAACACACCTAATCTACACATCCCCTGAACACTATGGGCAATTTAGCATGGCCAATCCACCTCGCCTGCACATCTTAGGACTGTGGGAGGAAATCGGAGCACCTGGAGGAAACCCACGCAGACACTGGGAGAATGTGCAAACTCCTCACGGTCGCCCGAGGGTGGAATTGAACCCCGGTCACTGGCGCTGTGAGGCAGTAGTGCTAACCACTGAGCTACCATACTGCCCAATATACCTTGGTTTGTGCTGAATTCACAGTGCTAAAGTTACAGTTGAGCATTTTAAAACAGTAAAGAAGATTAATTGAAAGACCATATTTTATATTGTAGAACTTTATGACCGCAATCATTCAGTTTGACTTGATTGCTTTCGATTGTACAAGAGTTAACGAAGCATGAGTTTTCCTTTAAGCAGGCTGCTTGTTTATTGTCAGTGTTGTATCATGCAATGTCTTTCTAATGCATTTAATTTGTTGGACCAAATTACTGCTAGGGAAATAATTGACTGTTTGACAAAAATAAGATTTAAGTGACTTGGTGCTGCTCTGGGCTAGCTCAATCAGTTGATGTTGTGGAAAGAAATATGGATTGCCATGCTGGTGCCGGTTATTAAATCATGCAAAGCAAGTCTCAGTGTTTCCACGGCAGATTAATAAACTAGAAACCTCAAATTTGTAGTACTTGAAACAAAGGTATAAAAGGAAATTTTCACGATTTTAAGGCAATGTGTGACTTCTTTGAAACTACACCAATAATTTAGAGTATAAAGGACTTTTAAAGGAAATCAGTTAATAGAACTTCAAAAATAAATTTGCTATTATTTTGTCTTGAAGTTGGTGAAAATCAGAATAATGTTTTCCAGTCATTAACATCAGATAATGTGATTACTATACGATCGCTGTTCAAATAATACTAAATTATTAGTATTCTGTTTAACATCGCAAATACATATTTCAGAAACAATTTCTAACATCATAATCAATAAAACATTCTCTTTTAAATAAAAATGTATTTTTCTCCGATTATCTGGTCTGAAGTCGGAATCTTACATTAAGTATGGTTGTACCTGTACCTTCAACTCTGTAGCCCCTTGTCCATCTGACCTATTTTATTGTTTAAATGTTGATAGTGAGTGTTGATTGTCTGTTTAGCTATGGGAATCATTTGAAGCCCCAGGTGCTCTTCACAGTCGTGGGTCACTGTTATGAATGAGACTGAGTTCTCATCATAACATTCCAGTATCCAATGAGGATCGACTGATTGCTACAAATCTCCTTTCCCATATTCAGCCTCCTGAAGAATCTGTAGTGTTCCAAAGTTATAGCTTGATTATACTCTCTCTTACGCTTTTTCTTAGGCAATGCCAATAGAGCAATTCTAGTCAAGTTGAGAGAGATGGGGCAATGCAAAATATACTACCATATTTAGTAACTGTCTAATTATTGGGTGAAAGGACAATAATACATATAAATTTACATGTTACAACAAAAAACTTGTTCACTGGTCATTATTTATAAATGAAGCACATATTCTGGAGTTGAGATAATAGGATTTTGGTCATGCATTTTGGAATGGGAGATGCATATCAGTTAAAAGTTCAGCCTCTAGACTATTTGTACTTATCCTTAATTGTTCTAATATAAGAACATACAAAATGGGAGCAGGAGGCCATTTAGTCCCGTGAGCCTGCTTTGCCAGCTGATAAGATTATGGCAGATCTGATTGGATGTTAACTCCGCTTTCCTGCCGATTTTCTCCCCCACCCCACTATAGCTCTTCACTCCCTTGCTAATCAAAATCAGCCTAGAACATATTCAGCGATTTATCTTTCGCTGCCCTGTGGGGGAAAAGATTTCCACATACTTACAAATCTCTAAAAGAAAAGCTTCCTCCTCATTTCTGTCGTAAATGGGAGACCCCTGTTAAACTGTCTGTCTGTGGTGTAGATTCCCAAGGAGGGGAATCATCTTCTCAGCATCTACCAAGTCGCACCTCTCTGAATATTTTGTCTTTCATTTAAGATTCTCTCATTCTCCTGTCAGGGGAAAAATAAAATTATTATCCATTTGTCATTACCAGCAGATGGTTCAATGATACTAATACAGATCTGTACAAGGTAGAAAGATCTAAAGCCTTTTTGTTTATTGCCTGAAATTGAGGGAGTGATACCACATTTTGGTGCTGTCAACATGTAATAATGTTTGCTGGCTCTTTATAGTCTGTGAGTTGCACCTCAAAGCCTGTGATTTCCTGTCCATTCTTAGTCTTTGCCAGGTTCACGCACAAGGCTTATGATATTGACTTTTACTACCGTCAGACTGTCCCCTAAATTTTTGGTGCACGTTACAATCAGTTACTAGATCTTTGTCAAGGGAAGAAATAAAGATTATATTCTCCCAAAGTCTTTTGAGATTTGTGGTCAGGATGTTATTACAGGTTGATAAATGGGGAAAAAAAAAGCAGCATGGAAAATATCTTGTGCTTAGAGAGAGGGCAGTGGTATCTTGGAACTTCAAATACAAGGGGGAAGAACAAACTCTGGGATGTTCACAAATGGATTTGGTTTGAAATTTTAGTTCAGGAGAACCCCATTAGAAAAGTACATAGAGTTTAAATCCTCTTTGCTCAAAATGCAAGGGAGGAGGGACAGACTGGAAAATGTGACCCTTAATGGACATTGAAACTATTTGCTTGCGACTACTGGAATTGGTTGTTCCCTGTTACCTCAACAACTCCAAATTGTTGTTTTGCTTGTGGAATTAATATCATTTGCAGAATTCTGTACACATTTTGATCTTATCTGAACAGAAGGTATGTGTTTAAAAATACTGTCCAAAAAAATCAAATAATCAGGAATACAAGTCGGCTGTTCTGCCCTTCGGGTCTGCTCTGTATAGGACCATGATGTTTATACTTTTATTCATGGGATGTTGTCTCAAAGGGCAGTTAAGAGTCAACCACATCATAGTGGGTCTGAAGTCTCAAGTAGGCCAGACCAGGTAAGGATGACAAATTTCCTTCCTTGAAGGGCATTCATGAACCAGATGAATTTTTCCTAACAATCAGCAATGGTTCCATTGTCATCATTAGACTCTCATTTCCAGATTATTATTGAATTGAAAATCTACCTCCTGCCATGGCAGGATTTGAACCCAGATCCCCAGAACATTACATGGGTCTCTGGATTAATAGTCTAGCAATAATGCAACTAGGCCATCGCCTACTGTAAGGTGACTGATCTTACTGTGGCCTTAATTCTATTTTCTTGCCTGCCCCTATAATCCTTGACTCATTTATTGATCTTGGTACAGAGAAAATAAGAACAGGGTTAGGCCATTCAGCCTCATCCACCATTCGGTATGATCATGGCTGATCGTCCAATTCAGTACCCTGTTTGTGCTTTAATTCCATATCCTTTGATTCCTTTGGCCACCAAATATACACCTGTCTCCTTCTTGAAAACATTGAATGTTTTGGCCTCAGCTTCTTTCCATGGCGGAAAATTTCCCAGACTAACAACTTTCTGGATGAAGAAATTTCTCCTCAACTCTGTCCTAAAATGCCTATCCTTTATCCTTATACTGTAGTCCCTGGTGCTTGACTCCCTGGTCCTCGAGAACATCCTCCCTGAATCAACTCTATATGTAATCCTGTTCAAATTTTATGGGTTTCAATGGGTTTCATTCTTCTAAACTCCAGTGAATGTAGTTCTAATCGATCCAGTATCTCCCTGTATGTCAGTCCTGCCGCCCCAGGAATCAGTCTAGTAAACCTTCCTTACAAAAAATCTATCTAAGCCTTGCATTTGTTGAATGATTCATCCTTCAGAGCTTTTGGAGAGAAAATTCAAAAGGCAAATGTCTCTCAATAAATTTCTCTTTCTTTTGGTTTTACATGGGAGAGTTCTTATTTTTAAACTGTACTCCCTTGTCCTAGATTCCGTCATAGAACATATTCAGCGCCTTTGTCGGAAGTCACACAACACCAGGTTATAATCCAACAGGTTTATTTAAAATCACAAGCTCTGAGAGTTTGTGATCTTAAGTAGACCTGTCGGACTATAACCTGGTGTTTGACTTCCGACTTTGTCCACCCCAGTCCAGCATTGGCATCTTTTTATCAAAGCCCCCTAGTGTCAGCTGTCCTAAACTAGATTCTCAGGAAGTTATTGGGAAATCTGTTCGTACGATAAGTGCTGAGATTTCATTTTAATCTTCAAAAATTAATTGTAGAGTGTTAACAAAAGACATGAAGATATTATAGAATAAACTAAACTCTACTAAAAACACACATTCAAAGATTTTAAACACAAAATATTATCCCATTAATCTCAAAACACTCTTTTAGAAATTGAAAAGAACAAAATCAGCTTTTGCATTGTTCTAAAAACACACCCATAAGGTGTAGGAACAGAATACTCTTTCAGCCCATTGATTCTGCTCATCCGTTCAGTAAGTTCATGGCTGATCTGATAATCCTTAAATCTAATTTCTTGTTTTTCTCCCCTTAACCCTTGATTCTCTTATTGAAATCTAATTATCCCAGCCCTGAATGTACTTAACACCCCTGTCTCAATGGCTCTCTGTGGTAAAGAATTCCACAGATTCACTACCCTCTGAGAAAAAACAAAATCCTTCTCTCTGTTTTAATTGGGCAACCCCTTACTCTGACATTAAGTTCTCATGTCCTAGACTCTCCCATAACAGGAGGTAACTTTTCTGCATCCACCCTGTTAAGTCCCCTAAGAATCTTTTTATGTTTCACCAAGATCTCCTCTTATTCTTTTAAATTCCAATGAGTTCAGGCCCAACATATTCAACCCCTCGTCGCAAGACAATCCTTCCACACCCAGGATCAACCGAGTGAACCTTTTCAAGACTGCCTTCAATGCCGATATATCTTTACTTGGATAAAGGGACAAAAACTATTCAGTATTCCAGCTCTGAATAGCAGTGACTTGTATAGCTTTAGCAAGATTTCCATATGTTTGTCCTCATTTCCCTTTGAAAGAAAAAGTTAGTAGTCCATTAGCCCATGAAGTCCCAAACTGCAACACCCTGCTAACAGTACCCAAAAACACCATCCATACAGTACTCTTACAGAATCGCTGTCCTTAACACCTCAGTGGGTTTTAGTCATTTGTGACTGGAACTACAGATAATAACTCCATAAAGAAATTATATTCCTGAGTGTAAATGTACTCTGCTTTAAGTAACATCTTCAGGGTTTGATCCCAACTCTTCTGGTCTAGGACTAATACTGACTCGGTCTTAGGTAATTTAATTTCACTATATTCTTTCCTTCCTGGGGAAATACTATCTTCATCCAAGGGCTTCACAGGACTGCCCAAAATTCAAAATAACATTTCTTTTGGAAAATCCCTCTAGCTATGAGTGTTTCCCTTAAGCTTAAGCTACTAAACTAAGTTTGTTTATATTGCTAGGTGGTAAACATCTACCATTGTACACAAAACCCCATTTAATTCCAAATCCACGCCTTAAAACCTGTTTTAAAAGAAAACACTTCTTAGCTACTGATGTATTTACAAGTTAATTATTAACTTCAGATGCACAAAAAAAATCTTTCACTAATCCAGCACCAAAACTTGCAATAAACGATGTGTGTAAAGTATAAGTCTCATAGTTTACATCATACCATTATAATAAAAGCAAAAAGCAATGGATGCTGGAAATCTGAAATAAAAACAGTGCTGGAGAAATTCAGCAGGTCTTGCAGCATCTGTGAAGTGAGAAACAGAGTTAATGTTTCATGTTCAGTGTGTTGACTTTTTTTTGAAGTTCTGGAAATATTGAACTTATACTTTAAAATCATTTATCTGAAGAGTCTTTCAGACAGACTAGTTTTTTCTTAAAAACTGTAAGAAACCTCCTGCTTTGAATTCAATGACTGCTTTTTATATGTTTCAATACCAGACTGCTACAAGTTTTAAAATGTGCCTTGACAGTTGGAACATCCAAACTGGAGCTTGGCTAAAGGGGTAAGCAAAATTGCTGTCATGTCCACACTAATAGTCTTGTACAAAATTCAATGCAAATAGTGCAAGATTTGTGTCGACCAAAATTCTGCGTAACTCATTTCAAAGTAACATTTCAGTTAATTCCATTGGTCTTTTGTTCAATTGCATTATTGTGTACGTTACAGACTCTCATTCTATGCATGCTGGCCTAGCAGAGACACAAGTTAGGAAGTTGATGAATAACCCTTATCACTGAGCAAGCAGTCACTATCTGGTTTGACATGCTGGCTCAGACAAAACAGTGGATTGTTGTGGAACAAAAGCAGCATGGCTGCTGCTGGGTTACACACCTCTACAGTAAGCTGAACGTGGGTGTGCATGTCCGGGGAATAGAACCTATCCCGGTACACCTCGACATTTAGATGTAGCACTTGCAGGGTCAAGTGTATCCAGTCACTGATGTCCTGTGCCGTAGTGAAGTGAAGAATTCTGGCAAAGCGACATGTACAATCCACTTGCATGTCTTTAGTCAGAGAGAAGTTAGTGTATACTCCTGTCCTGGCACACGGAGTGTTAGTCATCTTACTTAAACAGCAGTGGTTGGCACAGTGAACTGGGAGATGTTACGGAACTCATCGGCTTCAAACTGAAATGATCCCTCCGCAACCAAATTTATAGCTACAGTTATCTTTACAGCCATTGCCAGCACTGATCTTGCCTGTCCTGAGGCTGCAAGTCTGCCTGCAAGTAGTGGCTGAATTCTGTGAGCACCTCCTTCGTAAACTGGAGAGGATGCGCACACAGACATATATATTTTAAAAGGTTAGAACAACCCAAGGTCTTTTTTATGTGCCAAATGTAGGTACATTTTGAGTGCATTTGTCAATATTCTACAGATAACACGTTTCAATAGATTCAGCGAAGCTGTCCATCCAATTAGAAAATGGAACACTAAATATGAAATAGTTATTTAGTGAAACAGTATTCACAATGAATAAGAGACAAACGTGTTATCTGGTCGTTAAGTTTCACTTGCCATTGGTGGGGCTCAGCTTTAGTTTATATTTTATTGCCAAGTTTTACGGCATAGTGGTTGTGTCCCTACCTCTGAAGCAAGAGGGCCAGGTTCAAGTCACACAAGAGAGTTGTGTCGTAACATCTCTGAACAGTTTGATTTAAACAAAATACCCACATAAGCACAAAGGCTCTTGAGATGCAGTGGTAATATCCCTACCTCTGAGCCAGATGGCCTGGGTTCAGCTCCCACTTCTCTAGATGTAAGTCATAACATTTCTGAACAAGTTGATTTAAAAAGAAAACATACCTACATAAATACATTGACTGCATTTTTATTGTGACACATCTGAGTTGTCTTGACGAAATTTAAAAAGAGACCTTTTCAATGTTGTTTTACTCATTCTACTTATTATTGGCATAAGCTGTATGACTTCAAATCAGTAATGTGCATCTTTACCTGTTTATTGATAAAATTTTGGGTCAATTTAATCATATCTGTTCCATTAGGAGATTAAAGTACTAATTCTTAGTGACGTATGATTTAGATAAACTGAAACGCAAGAGTCTAATTTTTTGACCCTTTGTCATTTTCCCTTTCTGATTTTCTCAGTGTCTGCTATGATCGAGCACCTTATTTCCCCACAGCTCTAACATTTATCCTTTCAGCCTTGTGGCATGGAGTATACCCTGGCTATTACTTCACTTTCACAACTGCAATCCTTATTACGCTGGCAGCAAGAACAGTAAGTACCCATTATCCATCTGCATGGAGATTGTGAACTACCAGGAAGCTTTGGACTATTTCTGAAGAACAGTTAAGAAACAAGGGAGTTTTAAATATACACCAATACCATTGTTAAGTTGGTGCTTATCCAGTATTGACTTTCCTTGACAATTGTTGTCTATTCCAGAAGTATGGCCCTGGAGGTAATCTTTGCTTGCTTTATAAGCACTTTATATGTAGGGATACACATTAGAAGCATACACCTCCTGACCCAACAACCACACTTCTAGTTTGCTTATAAGTGCACAGGTGAGCTATGCCCATCACATGCAAAATTGAAAGCAACTGATTTCCATTAACAGTTTATGAACAACATTTTTTTGTATTCATCTTGACTAATAGCATCCCTTGACGCATCTGTAAAAAGATTTTGATAAAGAATTTCAGATGGGCTAAATGGAATAGATGTACTGAAATTATGTCGTGAGTAGATTTCATTTCAGCAATTCTATGCCCTTTAATGAACAGGAATCATGCCATGGTGGTAGAAATATAACTGCTATGTTCATTTTCTTTTTATTCACTCGTGGGACGTGGGCATTGCTGGCTGTGCCAGCACTTATTGCTTATCCCTAATTGCTGTTGAGAAGGTGGTGCTGAGCTGCCTTCTTTAACCGCTTCAGTCCATATATTGTAGGTAGATCCACAATGCCATTAGAGAGGAAATTCCAGGATTTTAATCTAGCGATACTAAAGAATGGTGATGTATCTGCTGCCCTCATCCTTGTTCATGGTTGGGAAGGTGCTGTCTAAGAATCTAGTGAATTCCTGCACTGCATCTTGTAGATGGTGCACGCTGCTACTGAGTGGTGGTGGAGGTGGGAGTGGATGTTTGTGGATGTAGTGCCATTCAAGTGGGTTCCTTTGTCCTAGATGCTGTCAAGCTTTTTGAATGTTGTTGGAGCTGCAGTCATCCAGGCAAGTAGGAAGTATTCCATCACACTTCTGACTTGTGCCTTCTAGATGAAGACAGCCTTTTGAGGGGATAGGAGATGAATTACTCGCAATATTTGTAGACTCTGACCTGCTCTTGTAATCACTGTTTATATGGTGAGTCCAGTTTGTTACTTGTCAGTTTTTAGCCCAGGCCTGGATATTATCCAGGTCTTCCTGTGTTTGAACATGAACTACTTCAGTATCTGAGGAGCTGTGAATGGTGCTGAAATTGTGCAATCATCGATGAATATCCCCATTTATAACCTTAGCATGGAGGGAAGGTCATTGATGAAGCAGCTGAAGGTGGGTGGGCTGAGGAACTCCTGTAGAGATGTCTGGGAGCTAAGATGAGTGACCTCCAATAATCATCACCATCTTATGTGCCAGGTATGATTCCAACCAATGGAGAGTTTACCCCAATACTCATTGATTCAGTTTTGTGAGGGTTCCTTACGCCATACAATTGAACATGGCTATTAACTGTCACTCTCTCCTCACCTCTGGAATTCAGCCTTTTGTGTCCATGTTTGATCCAAGGTATAATAAAATCGGGAGCTAGTGGAATCCAAACTGGGTCAGTAAGCAGGTTATTGCTGAGCAGATGGTGCTTGATCGTACTGCTAATGGCACTTTCCATCACTTTACTGATGATTGAGAGTAGACTGATGGCCTGAGTTGGATTTGTCTTGTCTTTTGTACAGAGGATCTACCTAGATGAGTGTCCACGTTATTGGGTGGATGTCGATGTTGTATCTGTACTGGAACAGCTTGGATAAGGGTGTGGCTAATTCAGGAACACGTCTTCAGTACTGTTGCCGGAATGTTGTCAGGGCCAACAGCCTTTGTAGTATCCTGTGCCTCCAACTGTTTCTTGATAACACAAGGAGTGAATTGAATCGGCTGAAGACTGGCATCTGTGATGCTGGGGGACCTTTGGAGAAGACTGAGATGGATTATCCACTTGGTACCTTTGGCTGAAAATTGTTGTGAATGCTTGAGCGTTATCTTTTGCACCAATATGCTGGTCTCCCCCATTGTTGCAGGTGGGGATATTCATGGAGCTGCCTCCTTCAATGAGTTGCTTAATTCACGAAATGTGTGGCAGGACTGCAGAGCTCAAATCTGATATGTCGGTTCTGGGATCGATTGGCTCTGTCTAACGTGCTGCTTTTGCTGTTTGTCATCAGTTTGATACCTCATTTCTAGGTATTCCTGATCCTGTTCCTGGCATGACCTCGTACTCTTCATTGAACCATGGTCGAGCCCTTGGCTTGATGGTACTGGTAGAGGAGCGGATATGCTGGGTCATGAGATTGCAGATTGTGTTGGACTAAGGTTCTGCTGCTGCTGATGCCCCTGTACACTTCGTGGATGCTCGTCGTGAGTTGCTGGATCTGTTCGATGTCTGTATCATTTAGCATGATGAAAGTGCCATATAATGCAAAATAAATTGCGATCAGTGTGAAGGCAGGACTTCATGTCCACAAGGACTTTGCGGTGGTAATTCATACTGATACTGCTTTGGACAGATCCAAGTGTGGCAGGTGAACTGGTGAGGATGAGATCAATTATGTTTTTTCCCTCTTGTTGGTTCTGTCACCACCTGCTGCAAATCCAGTCTAGCAGCAGTGTTCTTTAGGACTCGACAAGCTTTGGTCGATACTCCTGCTGCTGCGTGCCTGTTCGTAGTGGACACTGAAATTCTGTGCCCTTGCCACACTTGGTGCTTCCTTTGTCTTGTTGGAGGAGTGCTGATCCATCAGCCAGGGGAGGACAGTGTGATAAGCAGCAGATGGTTTCCTTGCACATATTTGACTTGATGCTATGAGACTAATGTTGGGTGTCAATGTTGAGGACTCCCAGGGCAACTCCCTCCTGTCTGTATTCCACTGTGCCACCATATCTGCTGGGCCTATCTTCTTGGTGCGACAGGACATGTCCAGGGATGATGATGATGATGGTGGTGGCTAAAAGGTATGATTCTGTGAGTAGCTGAGCATTCAGTGACAGGTTAATCCCTTTCATTGTCATTTTTTTGAATTATAGTCAACCAAGTATTTGCATTGTATAGAGCTTTTAACATTGTAAAATACTTGCAATATTTTACCGAAACATTATCAGAAAAATGAAGACACAAAATCAAGTAGAGGTTTTAGAACAGATGACCAAAATTTTGGTCAATAACGTAGGGTTTAAATAGAATCTTAAGGGAGGAGAGAGTGGTAGAAAGGCAGAGAGGAGTGCAAGAGATTTAAGATCTCAGTAACTGAAGGCATTACCACCAATAGTGGACCAATTTTAAAGTTGGAGATGCGCATAAGGCTAGATATGAAGGAGAACAGAGATCTCAGAAAATTGTGTGGCTAGAGGAATAAACAGCTTGTATTGCTTTCCATAAAGACCCAGTGGAGTTTAGACAAGTGTTTCTGCTTTTCAAAAAACTATTCTGTATAAATGAGCCTTGCTGCTGCCTGTCTGTGTTTAACTTTGCTCACCCTGTGTATACCAGTTAATTTCTCCTTACATTCTAGTCAGTCTGTATTTTACAGACATGGAGCATTTTGGCAAAAACCTCCAAATTGTTGTTGTCAGTGGATGCAATTTTTGATCCTTCCCAACCCATGCAAACTAATCTGGAATGGTACATTATTTAAATCCTGTTTGCTTTACATCACATCTAGTAAATGTAACACGACAGGAGGGAGAAAATGTGACTTTAGACCTAAGGTTCCCATAGTCTCCCTCGTATCATTTCTGGATTTGTGGGAGACTATTTGACAGAGAATGACTGCGGTTGGTTTGATGACGACACTATGTCATTAACTACTTGGGTGACAGGTCAATCAAATTGGCCTTGATATTTCTGGAAGAGAAATTTCTTTATTCGTTAGCACTACATTGTGCTAAAGAGATTTTCTAACACATACCAGTGTGATACATCAGAGTACAGTTATGATCTTCAGCCATATAAGCTCTTAAACTTCTTGAATCTAATGATTTCCAAAGTCTTTTTATCATAGAATGGCTACAATAAAGAAGGAGGTCATTTTAGCCAAATGTATCCATATCAGCTTTCTGCAAGAGAAACTCAGCTAGTTCCATTCCCCTGCTTTTTATCTTTAACTCCATAAATCTTATTTTTCTCTTTCTTCTGATAGTTATCCAATTCCCTTTATGAATTTGCCTCCACTACTCTCTCTCAGGCAGCGTATTCCAAATCCTAACCACTTGTCAAGCAGATATGTTTTACCTTCTGTCACTTCTGAATCATTTGCTAATCATCTTAAATCATGTTTTCTGATTCTCAACCCTTCCACCAATATGAACTATTTTTCCGTACCCATACTGTCTTGAACCTTCATGATTTTGAACATTTCTATAAAATCTCTTTTTGTTATGAAAGAGGGGAGATATAGGACAACTTCTTCCCCTTCTCATCTTTTGACTAATGTATAAAATAGAAGCAGAAGTAGGCCATTTGGGCCTTTAAGCCTGCTCCATCATTCATTATGAACATGGCTGATCATCCAACTCAGTGGCCTGTTCCTGTTTTTCCTCCATATCCTTTGATAACTTTAGCCCTAAGTCCTTTTCCCAACTCCTTATTGAAATTATATAATGCTTTCACCTCAACTGTTTTCTGTTGAGGCCAATTCTACAGGCTGGCTACTGTGTGGGTGAAGAAATTTCCCTTATTCTCAGACCTCAGTGGTTTACCTGTATCTTGACTGTGACCACTGGTTCTGGATTCCACCACCATCCGGAACACCGTTCTTGTACCTATCTTGTCAAGTTCATTTAGAATCTCATAGCTTTCTATGAGATTCTCTCTCTTTCTTCTGAACTCCAGCTAATATAATCCTCAGTTATATCGTTAATATGTATTGTGAATAGGTAGGATCCTACCACTGATCTTTGTGTTATTCAATAGTCATTGCCTGCCATTTGGAAAAAGGCCCATTTATTCCTGTCTTTGTTACCAGTTTGCCAACCAGTTTTCTATCCATCTCAATCCACTACCCCCAATTCCATGCTGTTTAATTTTACATGCTAATCTTTTATGTGGGACTTTGTCAAAAGCTTTCTAAAGTCCAAATAAACCACTTCCACTGATTTCCTCTCAGCAACTCTACTAATTACATCTCTCAAAGAACTCCAGTAGATTTGTCAAGCATAAATTCCCTTCCATAAATCCATTGTGACTATTCAATTCTGCCACTCTTTACTAAATGTTTAACTATAAAATCTTTTACAATAAGTTCTAGCATTTTCTCCATGATTGACGTCAGGCTGACTGGTCTAAAATTGAGTTTTTTCTCTCTACCTCACTTTTTAAATAGAGTGGTTACATTAGCTGTCCTCAAATGTGTAGGAACTGTTTCAGAGTCTACAGAATCTTGGAAGATGACCAGCGATACATCCACAATATCTAGAGCTACTTGCTTATATACTCTGGAATGTAGATTATCAGGCCCTGGGGATTTACTGGTCTTCAAACCCATCAAAGCATCATTTCTCAATTCATACTAATTTGCTTCATTTGCTCTTAATCTCTAAACCCTGTGTTCCCCAGCATTTCTAGTTTGTTATTTGTGTCCTCCTTTGTGAAGACGCAACTAAAGCATATATGTAGTTGGCAAAAAAAACCAAAAGAGCTGCAGACGCTTGAAATCTGAAATAGGAACAGAAATTGCTGGAAAATCTCAGCAGGTCTGGCAGCATCTGTGGAGAGAAATCAGACCTGAAGAAGGGTCACTGAACGCGAGACATTAACTAATTTGTCTCCACACATGCTGTCAGACATGCTGAGATCTTCCAGCTATTTCTGTTTTTACATATGCAGTTGGTCAGCCATTTCTCGGTTCCACATTATAATTTCTCCTGTTTTTGACTATAAGAGACCTACGTTCATGTTCGCCCATCTTTTTCTCTTCATATACCTATAGCTTACTGATTGTAAATGTTTCTAACTTACTCACAAAATCTTTTCCCTCCAACGTGCTCCTTGAATACAAAACAGGCTTTTTTCTTCTTCAAAAGATAGGATAAGTGATTCTGTTGCACAATGCCCAAAATGTAATCACAACAAATGTTCGCTCCTCATCCACATAGAGACACATGCAAAGGTAGATGGTTTCTAAAATACATAACATGCAGTTTGACTTTCAAGACATGAAAAAAAAATCTAAGTTATACCAGTTTCTCCAGTATGATTGCCGGAATGCTTGTAGGCCTGAACATTCTGTCAGTTCACTAAAATAGATGTTGAAAATGTCAGGTGATGAATTTTCAATAGTTTGATCGAAGTAACAGCAGGAATCTGGTTTTTCCAGCTGAAGATGTGGTTCAGCTCCTTTCGTAAAAATTATAACCTGCAGGTACAATAAAACAGCTCCACTTCTGTGCCTGAGTTGACTTCTTTTTCGAGGCAAGATCTCTGTGGATGTCTGTCTGTTTGTCTTTGTCTCTGTGTGTGTCTCTCTCTCTCTCTCTCTCTTTCTCTCACTGGGGTACATATCCCAGATTGACATGCCCTGGCCTATCCTTGTAAACTAGTTAGGTACGTCCAAGTGTTCCCTCTCATAAGCAAGTTTCCAACATGTGACAACAGTAGTGATGTTTTTCCATTAACTAAGCAATGAGTGGATTTACCACAAATTGGAGGATGTTTAATACAATTTATACCTGCTTTTGATTGTGACTGTTTTATACCAATCTTTGTTAGATGCAAGTTTGCTGATATCAAGTCTGAAATGACTATTGTTATTTGAGTTTTGGCAATACAAGGCAACAGTAACTGTCAAATTTAAAGTATTTAATTCAGATTTTTATTTTAATTTGAACATTTCTGTTTGTCATGAAAACATTGAAGATAGAGAATAAAGGCAGTTTAATTGGCATTCATAACCTCCAATATTTGTTAAACCATATTTGTGTGATTTTAAATTGTTTGGAATAAGAAGTTTCGATTTGAGGTGGCCATTTTGATACTATGTATTCCTAACAATTAAAATTTGAAGTGTTTTTAGTTTTGTTGAATCTTGTGCTCAGTCCATTCTCATTTACTTTTTTTCTGACCTTTAGATGAGGAGCAACTTTAGACATTACTTCCTTTCTTCCAGGATGATGAAAACTGTCTATGATATTATTACTTGGGTTTCTACTCAACTGGCCCTCTGCTATATAGTAACACCTTTCCTCCTCCTGGGTGCAGAACCAACAATCAAATTCTACAAGTAAGTAGACCTATTGTCTGATTATTTTTTTTGTTTATTTGTCCCCAAGCAACAAAACTAAGCATTGAAATTAGTCAGAAGTTGTACCTGCAAACATTTTCATATTGGGAAAATTTTTCCGTCTGCAGCATTCTCCAGAAGAAATGTACACAATTGTAAATTTAGTTGCTAAAATAGACAGCCATTATTCATTGTTCCTTGAGTAGTATGATGGTTCAGTTTGGTGCATAACAGAAGTGAAACCTAGATAGTTAAATGAGTAACAGTTTGTCTTAGTATTATTAATTGTTTTCGAGGTGCACCTGCCCTGGTTGCCCTTGGTAGGTGGTGGTGAGTCATTATAGTGATGGAACTAAGTGCTATAGGAGTTTCACAGCCACCAATCCTTGCTGGTCATAGTCTGAACAACTGATATCATGTGGGGAAGGATACTCACTTGAAATCTTTGGCAAGAGATGTACTTAATCATGATGAAAAGTAAACGTTCATTGCATGCGTTTTAGTAGCTGGTTACATTACATCTGGGATGTATGATTGCTGCTTGTGAGATATCAGGCTAAACTTAAGGGTAAATTCCCATTATTCCTACTACTACTGACATTATTGTACTGCACTGACAACAAACATAGAATTGGTTAGCTCCTCCCAGGATTCCTTTACAGCCTAATAAAAGCAAAATACTGTGGATGCTAGAAATCTGGAATAGAAACAGAACATACTGGAGAAACTCAACAGGTCTGGCAGCGTCTGTGAAAAAAATAACAGAGAAATTCAGCTAAGTTTCAAAATGTTAACTCTGTTTCTCTCTCCATACATACTGCCAGAGCTGCTGAGTTTCCCCAGCACTTTGTTTGTATTTCTTTATATCCTGATGGGTAGTGCTTAGAAAGTGACATCATAATACATCAACTACTAACTACCCTCTTTAACATCTTGATGCAAGCGGTTTTCTAGATATTTTATTTATACAATTATTTCAAATAAGTAATGTGAATTTAATAAAACTCTGTGTCTAACTTTGTAAATGATTGATTATTTGGTTTTAAAGTCTACTGCTTGAGGACAAATTATCCAAGTACAGCCCATTGCCACAATGGAATCTTGGTAGATCTTTAATCCCAGATGCTCTTTGCTGAGCATGTCCTCTGGTATCAGTGTTGCTGTGGAGGTTTGTTTCCCTTGAAAGATCTTTAGTTCCCCAAATTTGTGCCAGAGAAGATAGTGTGTTTCTAATCTAATTCTTTTTTGAATTCTTTTGGTTAACGGGGAGGTGATGGCCTGGTGGTACTATCGCTGGACTATTAATCCAGAGCCCAAGATAACATTCTGGGGACACGGGTTCGAATTCCACCACGGCAGATGGTGGAATTTAAATTCAATAAATATCTGGAATTAAGAATATATTGATGACCGTGAATCCATTGTCGATTGTTGGAAAAATCCATCTGGTTCACTAATGCCCTTTAGGGAAGGAAACTGCCATCCTTACCTGGTCTGGCCTACATGTGACTCCAGACCAACAGCAACGTGGTTGACACTTAACTGCCCTCTGGGCAATTAGGGATGGTCAATAAATGTTGCCTAGCCAGCGACACCCTCAGCTAGTGAACGAATAAAGAAAAAAGACTATTTTGTCAGGTTCAATCATAGACAGTAAAGCTGACTTTGAAGTTTTAGTACAGATTCCCATGAAGCAATGCCTTGTATTCTAAATTTTCTCCCAAACCTGACTATATGGTATTAGCTTTTTTGTGCATATCAGCATTACTAATTCTGTGGTTAAGCATTTGCTTTTGATTCTTGCACATACTCTGGAAATGTTCCACTTACTTACAAATGTTCCATTGGGTAATGAAGCTGAACATTTTTTCCTTTTTTTTTAAAAACTTCTTATCTGGAACAGTAAATTCAAGCATCAAATGATTTATAGTCATTTTGTGTTTGGCCTGTCATGATTTGTTTTGGTGTTTTTAGAAAATTGACAAGGGGTGATGAATTTCTTGAAGCCAGATTGGCTTTCTTTTCCAGTCATTCTCTAGTGCTGTTTTCTAACTTTGGTTTCCACTATGATCTGGATAGCACTTTCCAATGTGAAATCTTCTGCTATCCTCCATACGCTATATAGAAATGTAATTGCAACTTTTGTATTACTTAACTCGAGTCAAGTAGATTCTGTCCTTGATCACTGAGACATCTTCTCCCATTGACATAATCAATGTTCTTAATCAATTCCACTACCCTGCCTCTTTCCTGCCATTTTCCATCTTTTCTGAATGCCTTGTACCTAGAAATATTTAATATCAGTCCTGCCCTCCTTTTAAGCAATTCTCCTTTATGACCATATCATGTTTGAACATGGCTATCTACACCCGCACCTCACCAGTCGTATTTTGTTTACCACACTCTGCTTATTTACATATTGTTGGTAGCTTTCTGTAATGGCCAACTTTGTGGTTCAGGAGTTCCAATCTGGTGTAACAGTTTTGTAGAGAAGGTGCATAATTTGCTGGCCTCTGTTTTCTTTGGGCCCTCTTCTCAGCCAGCTGACCTTTTTGTTTCTGCTCAACTTTCTCAAAGCCCTTCCGTACAAGCAGTCCCAAGAGGTCACTGCCATTAGTGACTGTCTGTCAGTTGTAAGTGTTAATAACTACCATCTTCATCGCTTGCAGGTGTTCTTGTAGAGGAGGCATAGACACGTAGGAGGTTGTGATCGAGTGGCTAATTCACTGTACAGAAGGTCTTTAGTAAGCTGTTGTCCGTCATGAACATGACCCAGCCAGTGCAGATGACATTGGTTCAGCTAAATAATGAATGTGTGCTCATGGAATAGCACATTCTGGGACCTCTGAGTTGGTGACTTTGTCATTATCAGAGATGCTGAGAATATGTTTGAGAGAGTGAAAATGGAAATTGTCACCCTTTTCTCCTTCCTGGCACATGATATCCACATCTCTCAACTGTGGAGGAGTGTACCAAGGATGTAGGATTGATGAATAGCTGCCTGATAGCACTGTTGATGTTTGCTGATTGAGAATGAACCAAATTGGTCAGTGACAGCAAAAATTGGAGTTGTCCTGCTTTTTGTGGACTGAACATACTTGGGTAATTATCCATTTTTTTCAGTTAGAATTCACTGTTGTAGCAGTGTTGAAACAGTTTCGCTAGAGGTGTGGCTAGTTCTGGAGCACATATCTTCAACGCTACTTCTGGGGTGCTCTGACCTTAGCTGCATCCAGTTTGTTCACTTGTTTATTCATATAATTGGTATGAGTCAAATTGTTGGAGTCTAGCTTCTGAGATGGTGAGGCCTCCTGAGGCAGCTGAAGTAGGTCACCCAGAAGAACCGTTCACCTACATTTTTTCATGCTCACGTTCTGCTGTCTACTAGATAAATGGCTGTTCCTGGAGCCGCCTCCACCCTCTGTTGGTTGTCTAATGATCCACCCCAAATTAAGTGTAGATGTGATAAGACTGCAGAGTTTTGATCTAATCTGTTGGTTGTAATTTCATAGCTCTGTCTATAGCATTCTACTACTGTTGCATAACACATGTAGTCCTGTGTTGAAGATTCAACAGTTCAGTACTTTGTTTTCAGATATCCTTGATGCTGCTCCTGGCATGCTCTTCTGCATTCCTTATTGAACCAGATTTGATTCCATGGCCTAAGGATAGTGGTAAAGTGAGGAATGTGCCAGGCCATGAGTTTAGAAATTGTGGTGGAAAACAACTCTGCTGCTGATGTCGCGCATTGAACTACAAAGCCCTCCCTCCATATTTCTCATAGTTCTCAGTGGAAACCTTGCTCACACCAAGAGGCAATTTAACTTGGATGCAGATTATTATTGCTGGAGAGTGAATTTATTATCTTGTATATGTGGCAAGTAGACCTGCATTGTATCTGTACTTCATGCTCTTTTGGAAGCTGTTTTACAGCTTGTACAGGAGAAAGTAAAATGCAGAACAGCTGTAAGCAATTTAACTGCTTCACAAACAAGTAATAGAGTTGTGTTTTTATCCCTGTCTCAAATATAAACTGCGTTTCGATGACAGCTGTGTGACCTTTTCCATTTACATATCCTGTCCTGGATAAATAACTGCTAGATGTGAGTGAGAAACTCTGTTGTACCTTGGTATACCAGGTACTTTTTATGTCCTGCCAAACTTCTTAAGAGAAAACTTTACTGAAGAGCATACAGATACATAATTTTGATATTGCTTGAGATAATTCTGAGGCATTTCATGGAATGCAGTGTTCTAAGTTGCATCCTAAATTAATTTGGAGTGCAACAGAGCAAAAAAACCCCACTGTCTATACATAACTTGCCTGTAGATACTAGGAGCTGGCTGCTCTTCAGGTTTTCTGGCCAAAAGATTTAGCATTTGTAAACCAAAAACTAACTCAAGGTGGTACAGAGATAGTAGGAACTGCAGATGCTGGAGAATCCGAGACAACAAGGTGCAAGGCTGGATGAACACAGCAGGCCAAGCAGCATCATAGGAGCAGAGAGGCTGACGTTTCGGGCCTAGACCC